CAGAGCCCACCCTAGAGCCCATCCCGACCCGTCCCAGAGGCCATCCGCCAGGGCGTCCGGACCCGCCCCAGAGACCATCCCGGTTGCCTTTCGGGGCGCCATCCCGGACGCCCTGGACCCCGTCCAAGCGGCCATTTTGGGCCATCCGGACCATCCCCGGCCGTCCAGGCCATTTTTCTTTAGGCGCCCATGGGCCACAAAGGCCTCCCCGGACGGGTCTCCGTCCAAAACAGGATGCCATCCCGGATGGCCATCCGGACCGTCCGGGACGCCAAAATTTTCACAGAGGATTAGTAATGTGGAGAGGCTTAACAAATATCTTGCAAAATCATATTGGAAAACCTTTCCCTTCGGAAATTCATTCCACTCAGGTAGAAATGAGCATTATAGGATATATTGTACAACCCACCACACAACCCACAGAAAATAGTCAATTTGCTCCTTCCTGGTGTTTAAGTTCATAACCTTACCATCCAGTCTAACCTCACTTGTTGACAGTCTTTACAGATTTCTTGGTATCATGAACAGCTATGATAACAGCACTGGCAAACATTAGTAACAAATGATAAGTTTTCGTCAAATCGAAACTGCGTCGTCTGCTGTTTTGTTGTCACGATATCAGATTACTGGTCGATCCCAGACCGGTCAGTATCGATCGTAAACTTCACCGTCATAACTTCATACCAAAACAACAAGTGCTAGAAGTGATACTTGTGCATACAGAACGTTTTTAACACAAAAATCTACAAGTCCAATTTTACTCAACGACCACTTATATATTTTTCTCAGCCACCCTGTAACATTAACGAACAATCCCTCAAAATGGTTTTGTGTTTCAAATACCAGACTACAACAATCCAAGTTGTAAACAACCACCAAAACTCATTAAGTATTCTCTATGAATAGCTCCTGAATACTTCTTGCAACTTAAAATGAAGTCAAAAACATCAATCTAACAATTTCCAACATTTAGATCAAAACGGCAATGGTACAAAATTAGACAAACTCACACCCCTATTAATTATGGTACCGTCCACTCTCACTTTTTGTTACACAAGTCACAACGCCGCGTCTCCTTCTTACCAAGTGTACAGGTAACTTTTCACTTTACATGACCTAAAAACGTGAAAACAGTATATGTTTGTCTACATCAATGTTCTTATCGCCAAAAAATCGAGCTGTCAGCGTAACTTGGACAAAAATTCGTTCAACTTCAAAGCACAAATTGTTTACAATTTCCAAGAAACTGCATTGATCACAGTAAGTTTGTTCCATTAGAATTTAGATAATGTGTTTTATTTTTGTTCCGATAACCCCTGGCCTAAAAGTAACTTGAGCAAAGTTATGTAGAGATATTTGAGCAAAGTTATGTAGAGTGACATTAGACTATGAACACTTGTTGTATAACCAACAGTGTTTTTTTGATAAAGCTTACGCATGTAGTAAGCTTTGGCTACATTGATCACAGTATGTTTTCTCCACTACAGTCACTAAGTAAAAGGAGCAGACCTCAAACACTTGGAGTCAGTGTCTCTTTTCAGTGATAGAAAAGTTTATTGCAAATTCCTGCCAAAGGCTAATTGCAAGTGACATGAACAAAAGAACATTGAAATGAGATTGTACCATTCATGTTCTAGTTGGACATGACTTGTTGGACGCGGCAGTTCTAATTATAGCTTGTCTAACCAAAAATTTGCAACATGAGCTTTGATATTGACAAGGCACAATATACCCCTGCAGAAAAAAGCCAATTATGCACACGCGAATCCAAAAACATACCCTTTCCACTTGCTTTGCACAGATAAATACTCCCCACATACCCTCCCAACACAGCAACTCAGACCACCACATACCATTACAATGCAAACCTGTCTATATTAGCACCCGCTAATATTTTTTTTCTAGTTGGTCAAATGTCATGTGTACCAAAAACTTAATTATGCGAAACAAATGTCCTACTAATTATCCCCAAAATATAACACGATAAGAAAATGAAGCCTATTGTTTAAAAGCGATCAGTTGTTACTAGATGCTTTGTTCTTGCGCGCACTACTTTCTGGCGGCACTTGTGTACATTCTGTCTGAGGCCATACGGTGGCGTGGCCCAGTGAGGCTCCCTTAGGGTCTGTGCAGGTAATAGAAGATAGGTTTGGGGCTTCAACTGTCACATCCTGGGCTCACGCTCGTCCCCAGCGCCCGTGGAAGAGATCGTGGCTTAGCCCAGGCTATGGAAAATAAACTTTCTTTAATGCAAATCTGACATTTTTGTTTTCTTTGTGTCTTTCTAAAGGGTTGTGATAACCTACTCTATTTTGGGTGGTATTTTCGTGCGTTTTCTACCGTAGCGGGTCTAAAACAAGACGTAAGATTCCTATTTGGGGGTATAAAATGTTGTCACAGTGGTAATACACTATAATTTGAAATCATTTGGCAAAGTTCATCGCCTAATTTTACGGGAACGGCATCGTTTCTGTACTGGATATTTTATCCATGTTTACTCTGAGTCTGATATACATAGATTGGACAGAGATTGCCATTTGCTCTCAAACTGCAGTAATCATTGTTGTGGTGACGTGGAAAGTTGGTAGTTTGGAAATTTTCATCAATGCCCA